TCTTATTTATTTATATTATAATATAATTATTTATTCTATACCCAAAATGCTAAAAAAAGTGATACTTTTTTGGTAATATCACTTTTAAAATGCAGTCCAAACTTTTTGACACAACAATATCCATATGCTGCCCAGCTGCCACTGCCAATCGGTTGAGCACCTCACATTAAAAGTGATGATCTGACGTGGAAATTGGCTTATCCATGGATTCTTTTCTTTTTTGAAAGAATCATCCATCAACTTTTAAATTAAAAATTAAAAAAATTTAAAATTTTCTCTCAATATTTTAATTTTAATTGTTAAAATTTTAATGCAATTCAATCATTTTACCTACATAAAATATTAGTCTTCAACTTTCAAGAAATAATTTATAAAAATTAGTCTGCATATTCTTATAATTTCTTCTTGTCACACCCCAATACTGACGATATAACCAGCACAAAATATGAAATAAACTCATATTCTATAAGTTTTAATTAGCAAAAAAATTTAATTTAAAATAATGATAAATTATTTATGTCTAAGTTTAAAATTCATAAGCTCTTACCATTTTGTATAAATTTTGGCAGAATCTGCCCTATAATTAAGACATTCAAAAATTTTTACAATAAAAAGCCCTGTCAATTAAACCAGAAAGTAATTTCGCTCCACACCAGTAGATTTCACAATAATAAAATAAAACTAGGACCTAATTATGATATATGCAGAACACTAAATCTATAATGTTAATATAACACATAATTACATCAAAATGAATAGTCAAAGAGTGCTCCCACTATTCAAAAAGAAATACTACCCCTTATTGTTCAACAACAGGTGCCTGGTTAATAACAATATCTGAGACCAAAGAAAGTTTCCGGTGAGTAGTGTCCCAATTAAAATTTAAGAGTAAATATAATTAACAATAATAATTAAAAAGCTTAAATTGAATAAATAAAATCAATGAGATCTCAAATCTCACAGGCCACCTAATTCTATATAAATATATAATTCATACGTGTATGAATGCAATTAGTGATGACATAGCATAAAAATTTCACTTTCATACCACAATGTATGTTATAAACAATTAAGAAATATGAAACTCTTTTTTTTTTAAAATATAACTAATTCAACAAATATCATTATAAAATAATAGTAGCTTTTAAATCTCATTTTCATTTTCATTTTTTTCCATAAAGACTTAATCAGACCGATTGACAAGTGTGGATACAAAGTCCACAAAAATAACTAACCAACAAGTATAGACACACAACTCATGAGGATAAATAACTAAGCATGGCTAGAAGCCACGAAACAAGCGCAGGCACAAAGCCTACGAAAACAAGCGTGAGTACAATGCTTACGAATTAATATCCCTTCATTGCATGTACGTTGGCCTTTGCACGAAACTAGCACTTCCTACAAATACCCTGTTAGCTAGGTATATCATGGTATGCCAAGGATCAACGAAATTGTTGCTAGCATCCAGCATTCTAAACTCAGTTCCCATAATTAAATCAAGAGTGCATGGAATTATAACATTCACTGAAAACTATTCCTTTCAAAATATAATATTCAATTATTAAATTTTCTTTTCAATTTTCTCCATACACGAATCACTTTATTAACAATTGTAATATAAATTATAAATTTAAAAAACAAAAATATTTAGAATAAATAATCAGTTAATAATGTATCAGATCCAAATATTCCTTCACAATAACTTATGCTTCATGAATATAAAGCAAATTCTATAACAAACCAATTAATATAAAAGTGAGGTGAGTAAAAAGAATTTTATAAATTATAAAAAAAGAATTCACAAGAATATTTATGCAATATATAAAGGAATAGTATAAAAATATAAATAAAGTAATTTTATAAACATTTAGCAAGAAATTATTTGGGACACTATCCATTCACTTGAGAGTTTTTTAATAATTTAACACTTGCTTCATTTTAACTTCGAACTTAATTCCAAGGGTGCATTAATTTTTTCTAATAAGCCAATCAAAATTTTAAAATCACTTATTTATTCTTTTCTTACTATAAAAACATGTGTTTAATATGCTAACCATTAACAATCAATAGGGTTCTTTTCATCCTAATAAGTTCTTTACCTCCTTCAATTTCACATATCAATTAATTTCTTCAAATAATTAGTAACATTTAAATTAATTAATTTCAAATAATATCACAATTATACATAGATAGCCAACATTTTTTTATTAAATTATTAACTTAACAATAACCCACCAAGAACAAAAGAAAAACCTTTTCCTCTCATTTATGCCTTCTTCAATACTTAATAAAACGTCGCAAGCTACCAAGTCTCTTTTGCTTTAATTCCCTTTCCAAAAATTCTTTTATAATAATAATTTGAATAATTCAAACTTCCGAACAAACTACCAAGATAATGGGACATAAGCAAAGGGTAAAGTGGAGCAAAAGAAAGGCGTCATTCAAGGGTTATCAGGTCAGCATTTTCAGATATGTATACAATGTACAAGAGCAAAATCCCCATAAGCGAGCGATTGGTTCATGAATTTCAAATTCCATAAAAGATTGTCATAGTTTTAGGAAATTACATAATAAACCATACATCTAAGAGGAAAGATAAGAGACGATGAGAAATAGGATGTTCAATGCCATGTTCGCATAGTAACATTTTAAACGGTAAGATAGAATTATGCATTTACCAAGAGAAATTACAAGTGAAGAACCAATTTCATATTAATCTCCATTGACAATAACCCAAAACAACCACATCAAAATTACTTGATGGAAATATTCACTTCACCTTTAAATTTCAATTTACTCATATCCTACTCTAAACAGAGCCACAAGCGACTGCAAGGCTAGGAAGAGAAATCACAATTACAGCATCCTACATACACTCTCACAGAACCAGCATGAAAGAGAACTCAAAAATCCTTACCTCAAGTTAGCAATATCAGAAGCAAGATGAGTTGCTTGAGAAAAAAATGGAGAAGGAAGAAGAAGCATGTCCAACAGCCCACCACACAGAAAGCACAGAGACGGACATGAGAAACAGAACCAAGAAAAGATTGATGGAAGTGTAAGGAACCACAAACTCGAGAATCAAACGTCAACAGTGACAAACCCACAGCAAAACTGATCGGTGACTGACTAAACAGCAGGGGAAGGAGAACGAAAAAGACAGAGAATAACAGGGGACTTGAATTCAAAGCTTCTCTCTCGATCTCCAGATGATTCAACCAAATATGGGGAAGTTGGTGACTAGAATCACAGCAAACTACAAGAAAAAAAATCGAAGAGAAATGAAGGATCCAGAATTTTTCTCCTGGTGCATGTGTTTGATTGAGAGAGAAGAATTTTTGAACATTACGAAATTGTGAAAATTATAAGAGAGGATACAGCATTTTTCTTTAATAACCATAAAGACACAGCACTTGGGTAATTTTTTTTTATAATTTTAAACTAAATAAAACTAACCTATAGCTCAAAAGAATTCAAACTCTAAACCTTCAACTAAACTATTAGCATATGTTCCACCAATTCAAGACTCTTCATTTGCCACGAAACTAATTTAAATAAAGTATAAATTGGGAGAAATTTTTTTTATTTAATTTAAAATTTAAAGTCATTACACTTATGAATTTGAATTAAAATTTTATAATTTATTTTGCTTTAATCAAACTCTTATTGTTTTGATCCATTGAATATGTTAATTCCTAAATGTTAAAATTAATAAATTAATTATTAATTTTTCCAAAAAAAACTATTTTTGAAGTATATAGAAAATTTGATTTAGTATCTTTGGTCAAAAAAGAAAAAAATAATTTGATACAATTTTTACATTTTCTTAATTTTTTATAAATATTATATATATAATTATGCAATTAATTATAAAGTTGTATAATCTTTTAATATCTTTTTTAAAATAAAAATAATTCAAGAATTTTAACCTTGAGGGATTAAAAAATCTAACACATTAAACTAAAAGGGCTCGACAAAAAAAAAAAAGGCATGGGAACTTAATTTAAAATTTAAATTTTAGTTTAAATTTATCTCTTAAAAGTTCTCGATGATCATATCTCAAAAGAATATAAAAATTTTTTTTCATTATTTTTATCTTTTTTAATCTCTATAACAATTTTTTTTCATAATTTATGGACAAATATTTAATAATTACACTTGAAAATATTTTTTTATATTTTTCCAAACTTCATATTTATCTGTTTAGAAGCATTTCATATTTGTATTTCAAATCATTTATCTCTATTTTTTAAAAAAAATTTCTTAAATTTTTGTTTTAAATTTTATTTTAAAAAGTCTTTGAGGACCACCCAATGAATATATTTGTACTTATAATCATATTGTTTCAATATATAAAATTTAAATTCATTAATTAACCATTAGTCTTATCATAATTAGACCATGTTCCCACATGTAAAACTGTCAATCACTCCCTCATCTGGTTTTTTAAAATTTTGCTCATTTATATACTCCCTTCACTAAAAAAATGTAAGATATTCTTAATTAAATTTTACCCTTTAATAAAGTAGTTACTTGTCTTTAAACTAACCTTATTCCTACTTAATATGTTGTTTCATTTTAAATAAATATAAAATAATTTATTCAATATGGATACTTTTGCAAAAAAGACAACGATTAGATTTTAAAATATTAAAAACACCTTACATTTTTAAATATTTAATTTATCAAAAAAAATATTTTATATTTTTAAATGGAGGAAGTATAATATATCATAGTTACTGCACATCATTTTCTTTTTGATAGGTATTGCTGTTTTTAAGTAACTGCCTGTTCTTTTATTATTATTGTTGTTGTTTTTTAAGAGTAAAAAGTATTTACAAATTATATAATTACACTTTCTGATTTTTTTTGTTGTATATATCAAATGCCTCCAAATCTCATGAGTTACTTCAAGTCATTTCAATTGTCACAGGTCTTAAACTTAAGTTTCTCAAAAGGCTATGTGGTAAAAAAACAAAAAAATCTCAAAAGACAACTCCAAAAATACATTCCTTCCATTCATATAGGAAAAGGATTACAAAAATACAAATAAAGTGCAATAAAAAGCACATCGCCATATTCTATTATTACTTTACTTATAAAAGTTAAAAGGCTCGAATCTAAGGCACACCAATGTTATCACATTAATTATAAATTAACCGAAAAGTACCATATGACTGCTCCTTCTTACTACACCTACCAGCTTCAGTGGTTATCAACGAACTCTGTCACCTTTGCAATTAGATCTCGCGTTTGGCGACCCGTATTTGGGTCCGAATCCACCGCAACTTTGTTCAGGTAAAAGCTATGGGTCATACCCGAACTCACAAATAGCTCCACTTCTTTGTTGGCCTTCTTCATGGCGTCATAATACTCCATCTCTGTGTCTACTATCAAGTCCATCTCCGCCACGCACAGCAGAATCGGCGGCAGTTTCAGCCCCTCCATCGGCGGCGCACCTTCGCCCATCGGGCAGGTTATCGGGTGGTCCTTGTTGCTACCCGCCGGCAACGCCAAGCTCAAGAACTTGTCTAACATGTCCACGGTTAAGAACGGTGTTTGAGGCTTCTCTAGCTCTGACCTGCTCCTCTTCGACCGGACAAAACCCGGGTGGATCGGCACCCCGCCGGCCAACCTCACCGGGCTTAGCTCTAAATTCCCAGCTCTCGCGGCCACCTCGTGGACAACATTGCCGCCAGAGCTGTCTCCGATGAGGAAGACACGGTTGAAGTCGGCATGTTTAGAGAGCCATGGATCATGGGAGTCGCCTTTAGCGACGGATTGAAGCCATAGAAGCGACGATAGCCCGTCGTCCATGGCGGCAGGAAGACGGTGCTCCGGGGCTCGCCGGAGATAAGGGGAGACACAGATGACTCGGGCCGACCGGGCGAACTGGGTGTACACATGGTAGTACATGAACCAGTCGGCTTCGCTTATGCAGAACCCACCGCCGTGGAAGTGGAGGAGCACCGGGAGCTTGCCGGTGTCTGCGGCAGCTGATGTCTCTGGAAGATAAAGCCTAACGCGGCGGCCTGACTTGCCATCGATGATGACGTCACGGGTCGCGACGCCGTCAACGAATTGCTCATGAGCAGGAACCGCTTCAGCCATGAACTTGAACTCGGGTGGACCGGTCCATATCCGGTCCACTGAACCGTCATCATAAAGTCTGAGCCAACCGGACACTTCATCCACGAGCTTCTTCTCCTGAACCATGATGATGATGATTTTGGATTCAAAGCTTAGAGAAAAGAAAGAGAAAGAGAAAGAGAATGATATAAGGATGAGTGTAGGATGATTTTGGATTGAAAGCTTAGAGAAAAGCAAGAGAATGACACAAGGATCAGCGTATTACAGGCAAAGAAATAAGCGTTTGTTGCCTTTTTTATAGTGGAAAATTTGTGTGGTAATAGAATTCAGCTTATCCAAAGAAGAAGAAGCTTCAAAGAAATTCACCGTGAAAAAGCGTGTATGATGCATACACATCTATAAAATATTAATCTGCATAGTTTATATGAATTAGGTCGTAAAAAATTGAACTTGCTGTGAAACTATCAATTTCATTTTAAAAATATCAATAATAAAAAAAAATAGAGGGGAGTGATTAATCAGGTCAGAGAAGTTCTTGCATGGAATGGGGACATCATGTCATTTATGGAAGACCATGAGGGTTGGAGCTTTTTTTTTTTTAAAGAACTTATCAGAGTCAAATTTTAAAGTCCTAATTTTTTTAAATACTATCAATTTGTAAGTTCAAAACCTTATAAAAGCAAACTTAAATGATAGGTGGCCGAGCTAGTGTTTCCGGCTTTATTCATGGTCTATGCAATAAAAAGAGAGACAAAAATTACATTGATTTTGTTATTAATATTGATGATAGAGAGAGAAAAATCAAGATTAAATAGGTACTCTATTTCAAAAATAAAGTTATTAAAAATTATAATATACAAAATTTTATTTAATTAAACTAATATAATATATTATGTTTTTATTGAACAGATTATAGGTGATATGATATCCTAATTCATGCAATAATTTCTCCACCAAACAAAGATTTTGAACCTACCATTCTAAGACCAGCAAAACGCTTATCATATATACCGTGTATACAATAAAAAATAAGGAGTCTGGTCCTACACAATATTGCTGACTCTTGGAAAAAAAATATCAAGGGGCAATCACAAATAAATCCTTGAAAATGTAATAATCACAATGAGATTTTAAGAAATATATTTAAGATTAAATTTTTGTGTGTAATCATACCCCTCTGTAATTTAAAAAGTTATAATTTTTTAAATCATTTTATTCAATTATAAAACAAAATTTGCTAATATTTATATCAAATTTGTAAACGATATAAAATTAGTTAGACTTTGTTAACAAAAAGTTATAATTTTTTAAATCATTCTAGTCATTAAAAGAATTAAACTTGTAAAATACTTATACCAAACTTATGAATTATATAAAATTAATTGGACTATGCTAAATAAAGAAAATTGCTGACAAAAATTTTTTATTCCTTAAATCATTATACTAAATTTATGAACCATATAAAATTAATTGTAGATTGGTACTAAAGTAATTTTTTGTAGAAATTTAATATCAAAAAAATCCCTTGGATCTAACTATCATTATCACATTTTATAAGATCAAATTATTATTTTTCTATTTAAAAGGGATTTATTTATTGTTCATCCTAAAAATCAAATGTTATTAATTAACCTTTAACTTTATAGGAAGACATAATTTAACTGGCACTTTAATTTCAATTAACCTTTATCTTAACTTGATTGAAAAGGTTGTATATCTTGAAAAGTATTGGGGCTTAATTACTATTTATATGTGAAATTTAATTTGATAATTTAAATAGAATAATGACGTTGAGATAGCTATTTAATTGAACTTGGTAAATTATTGGGACATTAAAATTAATAAAAATATCATTGTCAATACACTCAACTTACCTGAACCTTTTTCACCAAAACAAAAAATTATAAAATCTAAACCGTATATAAAAATTTAAATTTAGAGAATTGCGAGAGGAAGTGTCTCGAATTCTCAAGTACGGTGCCGTAAAATATATGCACTTTTTCCAGTTACTCCGCGTCTTTGTGGTTTACTCCGTTGTCCTTAAACTACAATACACGACTTCGAACTGGCATTAAAATATATATATGCACTTTTATTAATTAAATCATGCTTGTGGAAATTGTGGTCCGTATTGTATATGTAAATAGAAGTCAAAGTCAATTAAAATAATAGAAAGGAATAGAAGAATCAAGTCAAGGTCCACTGAATTGAATTACTTTATTTTTTAAGGATTAAAGTATAAAAATATTCAATCAGAGGTCGGCCAGGAACATCATGCAATATTTGCTTTAACATTATCAAAACACAAAATACGAGACACATAATACTGTTATGATAATTAAAATTAATTTAATCTCCTATACTCTCTTTATTCAAAGCATTTTTGAATAGTTAAATATTAAAAAATGTAAGGTATTTTTAGTTTTTTGAAGTATAATTATTGCCTTTTTTTTAAAAAGTGCCTCTATTAATGAATAACTTTATATTTATTGTAGAGTATTTAATAAGAATAAATATAAAAAAATAGGGTTAGTTTGAAAATAAGTAACTACTTTGTTGGAGATGAGATTCGGTTAAAAATACCTTACACTTTTAAACAGATAAAATATAAGATTATTATAACACAAAGGTTTAAAAATTAGTTTTAAAAGATTGAAATTCCAAGAAACCTTTTTTGTAAAGATGTTTGAGTTCAAACCATAGTTTAAAACAAGTTAAACAAAATAGCAAAAGCATAAAAATCAATTAAAATCCTCAAAAGCATCAAATGGAGCAATTTAGAAATTCTCCATAAATGTGTTGTCCTCCGTGGCATGTGTGTCATCTACCACGGATGATGGCATAGAGTGATTAGATTTCTCGTTATGTAATATGTTGAGGTGCACTCCTGCTATCATGCAAATAGTTGTCATGACAGCACTTTAGGACTAACTTTTAGAGTAGACTGTTTCGCCATCTAACATTTGGCTCGAGCAATTCAAGTATCCACATATAGCTTTTTGAGTCACTTAGCTATTAGCATCAGTTTTACAACCAAACACTTAACCATTTAAAAGTTGGAACCCAAACACGAAATTGACCATTTTTAGTTCAAAACCACAACAAGAGTATCTAAATTCCCCAACCTAGTGCCAATGACCTTAAAACCACTTAAACTAACTTAAATAGATTATAAACAACCTGATTAAACAATCATACAACTATTTTCATAATAAATCAAAAGGGGTAGTATTAACCACATATCTCAATCCTATTGGCCATTCTAACACATAAATAACACAAAAACATCATTTGCGTTGATATCTTAGCCTCTCACAACAAATTCATCAATTATACATTATTCCAAGCCGAGATATCCACAGATCATACAATATATAATGCAAGTGACCCCAAAATATAACATGATCCTAAGTTGGCATAAGTTTTGATAAGATATTCATTACAAAACCATAATATAGAGAGAGAGGACTATACAATCACAAGTCTCTCAATCCTCTGTAGCACCTTTCTTCCCCTTATCCTTATTGGAGTTTTTAAATGTAAAATGTAACCATAAGGTAGGTTGAGGATTCAGTAACTAAATAATCTAAAAAACTACTCATGTGTAAGAACAGTATGTGAGTATGTGAAGTGGCATTAAAACATGTAATTTAATTATCAATTTTACATATATACATGGTTATACAATGATGATATACATGATCAACATATCGCCTTATACCCTCTTTATTTCCTCTGACTGAATTTGTGGACGGACAATTTAATAGAACCAAGTCCATGTGAATGGACTAGCTTAAGTTCACCATTTATGGGAGGCAGCCTTGGCCAAAGGTGCCTTCACCAATGATGGACCACAAATTTTTCTTTCCTGAAATACTAGTGTCATATGTCCAATCTATCGCAAATAGTACTGAGACTTTCAAACAAGAATAAGACTATGTACCTGGGCCTCCCCAATACTGATATATCATATGAATTTAATACAATGTTCCCTAACAACTCTAGGGTAAACTCCTATTCTCTCACAATGATCATACTCAAATATTATGCTCAAACATTTCTACACATAGCCACATGTAATTTATTCTTGAACAATTATTTTCATAATGAATTATACATTTTTACAAGTATATACACATATACATAGGATTTAGCATAAATCTTTCAAAACCCCATATATGCAAACATATAAGTACATTTCACTTCACATATTGTTTCTAAATTCCAATCATTTTATACTAATAATATACTAGTTCAAAATAATAATACAAAAATTTTCACAATTTCATACAACCATCCAAACACATAAATAATAAGTTTAGATGATTTGGTTATCTCAATCTTTTTGTCACTAAAAAGATTATTGTAGTCAAATACTAGCTCTACAAGTGTCCACTAGCATAACAATGCTCAGTTAATATTTAATCTACAAAATTAAATATTTAATCATCAATTCTCACTCCAATTAACCCCTTTTAAGTCAAATTTTGGGTACTTACTAAGCCTAAAATCCCTCTTTAATACCATTAATACTTCTATGACACTCCATTAGTTTCATTTAACACCCAACCACATAAACAACACCAATTCTTTATTCACGTTGATCCAAATATCTCAAATCTCACTTAGGGTTCGTCTAAACCCTAATCAAAAATTCTAAATCACTACAAAATCTATAAATTTAGGTTTAAAAACTTGATTTAACTTCCCAAAGCCCTAACAAATCCAAGGATGAATCTTGCTCAAAATGATCCTAAATTTCTCCCAAGATAATGCCCTATCAAATCCCAAGCCTTCACCATCGCCTCTCTCATGTTTTCTCTTCTCCTCCTTCTGTTTTTCTCATGTGCGAACAATTTGATATATTTAGATTTTTGCCTATCCACCACGGCACATGGTGCATCCACCACGGTGGATGGCATAGAAAGGCTTATCATGTTTTAGGCCTCTTTTTGTGTCTTAGTCTGCTCGAACTCCAACTTAGCCCTCTTTTAAGATTGTCCAAGGATCCAAAAACCTCATTAGTCATTTATAAACATCACTAATTCATAATTCACTTTTTTGACCAATTTACCCTTCTTAAACACTTAAAATTTCCAAGTTCAAAAATTCAAGATGTTGCAAATCTAGTAGCCTAAAGTGAGAAAAAAGATAAAAATACATGTAACATTGTCAGAGTTGGTGCAAAAGTAACCAAACCATTAACTTTATCCTAACATTATTAGTTTCCAATGTTAAATGCTAATTGTGCTTGTCACATGTCATTCTTT